CCCCCCCCCAACCATAAGGCACTACCTTTTACTGGTTTGATGTTTTTAGACCTAGGGAGGTAGGTAAGTTTTGTAGCTTGGCCAAAAAATACTGCTTACTTTGCCACTTAAATATTGCCACTTAAAACTAATTTAATATTTTTCTTTGAGGATTGTAAGTAATTAAAAAAAGTATGCAGTTGCATTATCTCCTAAATGCAGAATTCTACTCATACTGAGCCTGAGTTTAGATGAATGAAAATAGTACCTTGAGCTCAAGTTAAAATGGAAGTTTATTTGAAATTAATTTAACAGTATTAAATTAATTTTATTTCGTAGTGTTTAATACTTAACAAGATTTGATAGGTCTGCCAAATACTAGACTTTAACAGTATTAGCTGTTGATAGCTGTAGCTGTAACTTTTTGAGGTGGCAATTGGTTGCTTTATGGGTAGGGTTGTGGGTTTTTTGCTAAGACATCTTGTTGTAGTCACGTGCATAGTATGTAGCATGCTGTACTGTATACATGTAACCTTAATGATACCTTTTCTGTTATTTTTGTAAGGTTATGGGAACTTGCTGTGAAAATGTGATTGGATATATGCCTATTCCTGTAGGCGTAGCAGGACCACTATTTTTGGATAAAAAAGAGTTTTACGTTCCAATGGCAACAACAGAAGGATGTCTTGTAGCAAGCACAAATAGAGGATGTAGAGCAATATGTGTAAGTATTGTTTGACTAGCTTGAAAAAAATTCTATATTATAAAACATATTTGGGGATGATACAAGGCGTGGGGTGGTTTGTTTTGGGTTTTTTTTACTTCCTAAAAACTAAAATTTACTTTAAGTAATCTTCATTTCCCTTCTGCTTTGATTTTTAGCTTGGTGGAGGAGCAAGTAGCTGCATTCTGGCAGATGGGATGACTCGAGGACCTGTTGTAAGGCTGCCCACTGCTTGCCAGGCTGCAGAAGTGAAAGTTTGGCTTGAAAGCCCTGAAGGTTTTAAAATAATGAAGGAAGCTTTTGACGGCACAAGTAGGTTAGTACAATGGCTATTCCAGCCTTATTTCCTGATACAAGACTTCTATGGATGGTAGAAAGCTCATAATTGTATTTCTGCATACTGCAGTACAGGAAGTTACATACTCATTTGTGCTATCCCATGTAGTGTGAATCTAAGAAAACAAAAATCACTCTGGCTATATACCAAGGCTAGTAATAAACATTTTTCAGTAAGTGGTAAACAACTAGATCATAGCAACAAATACATTTGCAATACTTAATATGTAATTTTGTCTAAGTATTTAAAAGTAAACATAAAAGCTTATTTGGATTTTTAGTGGTTATTATGCAAAAAGTAATTATTAACATTTGTAATATCTGAAAGGCTAGATTCCAAACTCTGAATTAATTTGTGAGGTTCTAGAGAATATGGGATAAACTAATGCTAGAACTGAAATGCTTTAAAAATGTAAAACAGTATTAAGAGTAAGTTTATTTCGAGCCCTAGAGTTTCTTCTAAGACTTATGATTACCTGCTTTCTTTAGGAAGATTTGGAAAGAGATTTCTTTATCAGTTATGTTTCTTACCAATCTTACAAGTGTCACCCAAGGACGTATGTATATTTTGGTGAGAATCAACTCATGCTGCTGTTTAAATGCCGTGTTTCCCAGTTTTGTTTGACTCTTACTCTATGAATGAAGCTTTGATTTGTGGAGCTTGCACTGTTGTTGAAGATAGCATGGGTTTTGCTTTGCTGTAAAACTGACATAAGACTTTCCAAAGGCCTCATTTTTAGTTTATACATGGTAGTCAGATGTTTTAAGGAATACAAAGGAGTTATAAATTTATGTTAGTACATTGGGATCTTTTATTTCATGAAGTCCAGGGATAGAAAACATAAAAAGGCAGTGAACACTTTTAAAGTGAACATTTTAAAGTATTTACTTGAGAACTATGTGCATGGTAGCTGTGACTAGTCTTTTCCTGTGCTGAGGGAGGAGTACAGATAGCACAGCGTACTTAACAGTGCTATCTGCAATGATTTACTGTCATTTTGCCACTTAAAACTAATTTAATCTTTTTCTTTGAGTATTGTATGTAATTAAATTTTCTTGCAGGTTTGCCCGCCTACAAAAACTTATCATCAGTTTGGCTGGTCGTAACCTTTATATCCGTTTTCAGTCTGGAACAGGGGATGCAATGGGAATGAATATGATTTCAAAAGTAAGGTCCAGTCCCCTTAAGTCTCTCTAATAAATGTGTATTTCTCTTAAAAATAAATAAATTGTATCCTACCAATCTGTGACTACCTGGCATGTGAAGACAGAAAGACAAGACACAGCGCTTTTTGCAGCACTATAAAATAATAAAAGCGTTTGACTTGTCAAGTGTAAACAAGAATAGAACAATGAAAGAAAAATGGTTAAAGTAACTTTGTATTTTAATTGTTTAAAAAAAATAAAAAAAACCTTCTTGATAATATGGAAATTAAGCTGTTTGCTGTGTTGCTTTGGGCCAAAGATTTTTATCCAACAGTAATTAATCTGTTACTGTGTTTATCACCCCTTGTAAATAAGGGATTAGAAATCTGGTGAGTGGCAGCAGGGGGATGTTCTCTAGTTTTGCTTGTTTGTTTGTGTTTGTTTTTTATGCAAACATTTGGAAGAACCCATAGATTGGGGGGTGCCTTGTGCTGTTTGAGATTAATACTGATTGCCTATTCTATATACAATTTATCAGGACCATTACATAAATGGGTCTGGCCATAGACAGGTACTAAATATAGCAGACCTTTTGTCTGACTTCCTAGCGTAGAGAAACTCTTTCCACTATGTCCAAAGTGAATTCATTTCATGCCTGTAGTGTCTGCCTTGGTTCACGTCATTGTATCTTCAGTGTGGTAAGCATATGCCTGTCCGCCTAGAATATATCCAGAGAGTCCATATGTGCTGGGAAGAACCAATTATTCCCCATATAATTCCCGAAGTGGTTAGAAAAAGGATAGATTCCCCCCCTCCTGTTTTCAAGTTCTTTCCTGAAATCATGTTCTTGTCTTCAGCTGTAACTGACGATCTGATTAGACTTAATCTTGCTGTTCCACTGTCCTTGAGTAGCTTGTTTTACAACCATAATGATATACTAACCCTATATCTGTTTCTCTTAACAGGGTACTGAAAAAGCACTGGCAAGGTTGAATGAAGAGTTTCCTGATCTCCAGGTTATAGCTATTAGTGGCAACTATTGTACAGACAAAAAGCCTGCTGCTATAAATTGGATAGAAGGAAGAGGGAAGTCTGTTGTCTGTGAAGCAGTTGTTCCAGCCAAGGTTGTTAGAGAAGTAAGTGTCTGCTTTTATTCAATTTGTTTATAAAAATGCGTATATTTTACAAAACTGATACATATTTTACATCACAGATATTAATTGTAAGTTGTGTTCCATGTAAGGATGATCCCTACATATATTTTTAGACTATTGCTGTAGGATAAGTCAGTTTTCCTGAGAACCTCTTACAGCAGATCTATTTTTCCTTACACTATCTTCAGAAGATTGGCTATGCGTGTCAGACCAAATCCATTGCCTGTCACCTGGTTGCCAGCACTGGCCATGACAGACAATATCTAGGGAGGAGTTTACTACACCGTGCTCAGAATAGACTTCCACCAACATGTTCAAGACTGTGGAATTCTGCTCAGTATATTAGTACTAAAAGTTTACATAGTTTCACAGAAGGGACCGAACAAATTACTGGGGGGGGGGAGGGAGAATCCATCAAATACTAAGGCACTAATTCACACAATCTGTGTTGTTGGACACAGTATTCAAAGTGTGTGTGTGCAGGCTGGATTTCTATATTGGCATAATGTGTTTTGGTTTTGCTTCCTAGTACTTTCCTAATTTTCAAATTGTTTGCATTTTTACTGCCAATTCAGTGGCAATATCTATTATAACCCCAAGATTTCATTCCAGAGTAATAATGGGGAGCCCATCCTTTGGTAATTGGTATTAATAGTTTTTAAGTAAATTTAGGATGTTTTTTCCCACCCCCCAACTATGTACATCACTAAAATTATGTTGAACTCAATATATTAAACTTTATATTTTTGTAAGTATTGTAGACTTTGCACAGATCTCTGTCATCGGTTGCTATTCCTACTACACTAGAATATCTTAAATTTTGTGCACAGCACTATCTTGTTTGTTCTCTTTGATAATTTTTATACTAAATTCAGTGTAAATCTCTTATCTGAAGGTTTCAAATTATGGTCAATATAGTATAAATATGTCACTTAATTTGATATTACTGTGCACAATGTTTGCTTAGCAGCATAGCACAGTGTTGTGTTTAAACTCTTCAGTTTAGCTCCATATTCTTATGCAGAGCAAAATTGGGGAGGGTTTACTGTCTGGAGCAACTTGTGAGGAAAGTTGCTATTGTGTCAAGGTGAATTAATGGGATATTTCTGCCAAGTTGGTTTTGTTTGTTTCATACTGAAGATAAATGAGAATTTGAAAGGGAGAAGGTAGCTGATGAATTTTTCTTAAAGGCATGTGGAAGTCCAAACCCTTTGCACTGACTTTTCTGTTGTTACTTGGATGATGCAGTCTGCATTTTAAAAGGGCTCCTTTTGAACAAACATAAAAGTAGATATCTAGGACAACAACTGAGTCAAATTCCATATGGAAGCAAGCAAGGGGCAGGGGTTTATTAAATATGAAATGAGGTATTTCTACTCCTGCCTAAGGAATGGTGTAGTAAAAGTGTATTACTCTGCCTAGGTATTGAAGACAACTACAGAAGATATAGTTGAAGTCAATATAAACAAAAATTTGGTAGGTTCTGCGATGGCTGGTAGCATAGGTGGCTACAATGCACATGCAGCAAACATTGTGACAGCTATCTACATTGCCTGTGGTCAGGTAGGTTTGTTTTACACTAACTCAGCTGTTCTTTAATTCAGTAATTCTTAACCAAACAGTTGAGGTTTTTTTGTTTTGTTTCTCCTTCCCGATCTAAAGGATGCTGCACAGAACGTGGGCAGCTCTAATTGCATCACTTTGATGGAGCGTACTGGTTTCACTAATGAAGACCTATACATCAGCTGCACAATGCCTTCTATAGAAATAGGAACTGTTGGTGGAGGCACCAACTTGCTTCCGCAGCAGGCCTGTTTGCAGGTATAAAGCAGAAAGTTTAAAGCAATTTAGCTTCCTAAATCAAAGCTCACTTTCATGTTGTATATGTTGTGTCTGAGTAATGTGGGAATGGGGCTTCTTGAAACTTGGTGGATTTGACATGAAAATTTTAGAATTATCTAATTGTTTTCATATATCTAGTTTTTAAAGCTCAAGATCTTTAATATTAAAGAGACTTAAAGCTAGTTGATTGGATATAATTTGGAAATACTTACTTTAAAATTTAGTATAAATTTACTTAGATTTCATAGCATAATATTGCATATTTTTCTCTTCAGATGTTAGGGGTTCAAGGTGCAAGCCAAGACAACCCTGGTGAAAATGCCCGTCAGCTTGCTAAAATCATATGTACTACAGTGATGGCAGGGGAATTGTCACTAATGGCAGCTCTTGCAGCTGGGCATCTAGTCAAAAGCCACATGATTCACAACAGGTAAGAAATGGAAAAATTAATATCTTTCTCTGCAGTTCTGCCCTTCTTCCAAGTACACAAGATTCAATAACAATTACATGAATAATTGTAACATATAGTGTATCATTTTAGCTATCTAATGCAGTTATATTACTGTTTTTCTTAGGTCAAAAATAAATCTACAAGATCTTCAAGGAACCTGCATGAAGAAGGCAGCTTGAATACTAAAGCAGCTTTGAAATGAAGAATTGTTCTAGCAACTGACTAGGTGCATGGGGGGGAGGGCAGATAATCTGTGAAGTTTAGAATGAAAATCACCTTCAACTCAACGATTTCTGTGGAAGATAAACTGAGAGATCGGTGGACTTGCATGAGACTGCTTATGCCTTTGACCTTCTTCAGTGGTTAGAGATGACTTCATGAAAGAAGTCCTGTCATCTGTCTTGAACATGGCTTTGGAATTCTTACTCTTGTGCATCATTTTCTGAAGGGTCCATCTTATGTTTTTTACAGGTTGAGATTATTTTGACTAGTAAGCTCCTGGTAACTACCATGGTGAAAAGTGATGTACAGTACTTCATATGTTTGCAAAAAAGAAAAAAGTTAGTCTAAACTTGGCTTGAATGCATTGGTCCTTGCCATCTTTATTTTCTGGTTAGACAAATATGGGGGGTTTTTTAAGTGATGGCAAGCCTAATCACTTTCCATGAACTCCCAGCTTTAATTTTGTTTGCATGTAAAACTTAGGTCTTAAGCTTTGAGACAATTTTATTGAATCATATTAGTTTTATAGAAACCTCTATATATAGTATTTAAATTGCTGCTGCTTCAGCTAAGTAGCATTCAGTGTTTAAACTCTACAATTTAGGTTATGCCTTCATGGAAAACTTGTGACCTACAAAGTGCTGAATTGTTAAATATAATCTGTACTGAAGTAGGGAAGAACAGTGTCTTCAACTGTTTTGTCATTTTGTTCAGGTAGAAAAAATTAGATTTTGAAACTAGTAACTCCAAAAACAATTACAGGTTAAACAGCGCAGTAATTTAAGCAAATTAAGTTACTCAAAGTTGTTTGAATGTGCTCCTATCAAAAACAAAACAGGAATCAAGAACAGATGTTTACACTTCTATTAAAAGAAGTCTCTTAAGGTACAGTGTGTATTTGTATATTCCTAATTTTTTTTTTTTAAGTGTTCGACATTTATTCCCCTGGAATAGGTGTGTATCCACTGCTTAAACTGAGATAAAATTAAGCCAGAAAATCACACTGTTCTTTAAAAGGAATTAAAACATAAAAAAAAAAAACTTCCTAGCGTTAAACTTTCTGTTGACTGAGTTCAACTCCCGTGTTTGATCTTGGTAATGTCCATCAGTCTGTAATCTGACATACAATGCAATCTGCATTCTTTTTCAGTCTCCTCAGTGCTACAGGTTTTATACCAGAATCAGAGATTACCATTTCATATGTGTTAGAAAGTCTAGGGAACTGAAGGGTTCTTACTTCCCTGCATATATTATAGTAGAGTACTGCAAAATTTTTGTAGCAAAACTGTTTCAGTACAAGAAGTCCTGTTTGTTTTGAGTCCTTTGCAAAACCAAACCAGCTGTCTGGAATCAAGTTTCTAGAGCTGTAGCAACCTAAATGCTATACTATTACAATTAATATAGTTTTTCAAATATTTTAAAAAAATGTAAAAAATGGTATATTTGACTCTAACTAGTTTGCTTCTCTCTTTACCTAGATTACTTCTTTTCTTTGGTGTCCTGAATCTACTTCCCCCTCCACACTACCCACCA